GATACAAAGGCCCGCGTATTAGCAGTGGCGTACGATGCTTTATGCTACTCTCTTCGATTTTTGTATCTGAATATAATGTGTGAGCAGGACCGAAACATAGGACGTTATAATTTTTGCAGCTTTTTTCTGAAAATTCGTTATCTTTGAGAAACAATGAGTTGTGCTTAGGTCTGCAAGCTTTATGTATATTTGTCGATTTTATTAGTCACGTTTACATTTTCACAGAAATGTGTCTGGTTGCGCTAATAGCATTGCAGAAAATAATTTAATTCAAGGAGGCAATATAAATGGTATTTTAAACAACGCGTAATTTTTAATATAGTATGAACTTTAGTCTTTGCGTATACCGTCATCATAAAATGTCCATGTAGTATTTGAGTTGCCACTCATTACAGCTCGTCATCAAAATTAGCAATTATTATGCTTGTTGCAATTATTGTATATACAGGGTCAACAAACATTCGTTGTTTATTGTCTGAGCGTCGTTCTCAGCTAGAGCGGTCCGTAGATCCATTAAAAGTAATCAAATTTATTCCGGACTATACTATAACTATCTAAAACTGTAATGACTCATCGATGTTCACGTGAACATCACTTAACTACCAGTAGTCGGCTGTTCATAGGCGGGGTATGAATGTTTAACATGCGTGAACTAGATTTGTCACATGCTTAATAAAGAGTGGTTTGAAACATATTGTAAGTCAAAAATTTGGGAATTACCTTTATTCATCGTCGCTTCCACTTACATCTGACAGTAATAAACTGTCGCTATCGCTTTCCTCGTTGAAATTGACTATATCAGTCACGTAACTAATGTTCGCAGGTTTGTGCTGTTTAATTTTTTCATACAATTCCGCTTTCACACATGAATCGTCAAACGGGATTCCTTTTTCGCGCAACCATTGCTGCATGTCACTTTTTCGAGATCCCATAGTCGGTACACGTTCGGCTCGACGACTATTGGTAGGAAGCTTATCCATGACGATCACAGAGTTGGATCCAACTCGCTGAAGCACCCCTTGAAACCAGCTCTCGAAGCAGCTGGCATTCATTTCGTCATGGTAATCACCTCCTTTCTTAGAGACGAAAATCAAGTCACACTCTTCTAAAAAGCCACTATCGCTACCAATATGAGTTACGATCAATCTTTGACCTTTCCCTGACGGTCCACGAAGACCTGTTGACAAACCTTCAATGCTTGCTTGTCGGTTACTCACTACGTTTTTGTCTATCCAGGTTTTTTTAACTGTGTGACCTGCATTTACCCATGTCTCGTCCAAATAGTAGATTTTTCTGCTTTGTCGCCTATATTCAATCATTTAGCGTAGGTATTTTCGACGCCAGGCGACTATTTCAGGTCTCTCTATCAATACTGACTTCCGATTACGCGTTTCGTAACGAAAATTAATTTCGTGCAAGGATTTCCTCATTACCTCGACGCTCATTTGGGGTATAATTTCATTTTCCTTGATCGCTGCATGTACAGCCTTGAGGGTTGGTATCTCATTCCTAAAGGAGAATGAATGTACGGTTCGCCTTAACGCCATTTCGCTATCGTCATCCAATTTAACGGCCTTTCGTCCCTTCAAATTAAACTTTGGATCAGTAGTAGCTCCAGTTTTCTTCTTTTCATGCATCTCCCTGCGACATAGTTCTGTTCAGATAATTGAACACGTTGAGCACGATTTCTTTCCCGTCCCTCTTCAGTGCTTTACGAAGCCGTCTACTTGTTCCCTGGCTTTCAGTACTTCCACTCGTGCCATTTGTACTCTCCATGGTTAAGTATAACCAAAACAGTAACCACAGAAACCACAACAATAACAATCACACAACAATTCTTATAAAAACACACAATACGCGATCGCTCAACGAAACACGTTCCAATGCGTTGCCGACGCCTATGAGTTTGCCGGTCGAGGCGCGTCTTTGATTTCATTGGTTCTACCGGCGGAGAACAATCAGCCATTATTTCCATCTCTGTCTGTGCTGTTGACCACCGCAAAGCCACAGAAACGACATATACGGCTGTATTGGAAGGAAGCCGGGATCGAGCTCGAGATCACGTGTTGATCATGCGTATGAGTCCTTATACTTTTAAATAGTTGTAGTATAGTAATATAATCAACGCCAATTTTTAGATGTTGGAGAATGCAAATATCTACCGCCGAATTCAATAATAATGGTCGGCATAATTGGCGTTTGCTACTCTTACATTTAACCATGCAAGTCACTAGGAGATTTTTTTTGTAATTAATTATTACAATAAAGCGAAAACTGTCATACTTGCCAAAGTAAAGTACACCAGAAAGTAGAAAAGCAAAAAAGATGGTTAGGAAAGAAAGAAAAGCATGTGTAATCAAGTCATTGAAGTAATGATAATTTCACTTTCTGCCTAATAGTTGGTAATGAGTATTGATAGTACAATTTTGGTAAAGAATTATAATGGTGGCAACATTGTAGGAGACACTGCGTTGAAATAGGGTGGTTGTATACTGAGGCATCCTGATAATTTTATCTCTAAGTCGTCTACAATAAACATCATTGTTAAATGATTTTTTTTCGCAAGTAGATGTAACTAATAATGAAAATTGAGTAGTGATATTTAACCGAAATATTTATTTGCAACTAAATGACTATTGCATATTTAGCTAATTCATGCTCAAATTTGCCGTGTCCAAAAAAAAACGACCACAATTATTCTGGATGATTTGAATTAGGCTTTTTGGTTATTGCAGATATGATCAAGGATTCACATAGTTTTTAAGTAACTTGAAATTTAGTAGATATTTGTTTGCAATAGATAAGTTGTCTACGAAGGACTTTTGACATGTTTGGTAAGTTTTAATTTTGTGTCAAAAACAACACCAAGAATTTTCGCAGTTTCGGAAAACTGTTTCTTCTTTTTCTGCGCACAATATAATGATATTTTAGTCTTTTGAGGGTTGACAGACATATTATGATCAGACGAATATTGGATTAAACTGTCAACACCATTTTGTAAAACTTCCACAGTATTTTCGACTGCGAATTATCAATTATCAGAAATAAAAACTATGCAGCACAGCACAACATACTTAAAAAAGGAAAGGCTGCGAAGCTTTTATTTTCGATGTTTAATACATAGGCCATGAAATAGAGAGATTTTTTATAAGAAGTCCTACAATTTTGGCGACAGTCAATTTTGTGGTATTTTTTTGGTATTGTTAGGTTATTGCTTCCGAATGATAAATTCAAATTGCGTCATGAGAGTGCTGGATCATTTATCGCCATTTTGACAAACGCGTTTGATCGAAAATCATCATCATATTTTGTAGGAAATTGAATTCTTTATCATTTTGCTTATATAAAATAATTGTTGTATAGTAAACAGATTACGAGAACTTGAGTAAAGGTACATGTAATAACGTTTCCGCTTATAATGGCTAAACTAAGAGCTTAATAGTAAAAAAACACCACTATCTTTGTATAGAATAAAATTTGCTACAAATAAGGGCTTTTATGTTTTTTCGATACCCTGACGGTTCTTCGAGTATATGAAAGGAAGTTTGGAAATTCGTATCAACAAAACATCACGAAACATACTCCACACGCTACGTACGTTTTTCCTCATCTATGACCAAGAATCCCATTTTAAAGCGAATCCGTTTATTTACTGCCACGTGAAAGTTTGTAAAATTTTATTTTTTTTTGATAAATTGTGATGTTTTCAGTCTCAAAATCAAGTCACTAACTCCCGTCAGGCTGTCTATTGGCGATTTTGTCGCTGAGTAAAAACGTAAACGTCAAAAGTGTTCTCTTCTTCCCAAGCTCAAAACCTTATCACTTGTTATACTCATGGTTTATTGTTTGTTTATTTTATCTGGTTATCAAAAACTGCTCAAAATTGGCAGAATATATATTTTTCATGATAAATGCTACCTTGCATGCCTAGGGTCTCTTATAATTACTACAATGGTCGTATAAAACGTATCATTACATGACTCTGTAATATTTAGGCGTTCTAAAAATAAGCTTTCATAGTATTCCTGAGTAAATTATCATCTGTCAATCTACATTTCATTACTGAGTACGGTATTAAATTGCCAAGTGATTCACAAACGCACCCCTGAATACGTGGTAGATAGTTTGCGTCTATTTATTATTGGTATTTCCAATAACTTAAACTATTAGCGCATTTATAAATTATTCATAAACAGGTCAAGGGTTACCCGGCAAATCGACTGACGGAAATGTATAACATGAATTTCCCTAGTGTACATCCTTGCTTGCTAAGGTCGGTACACCCTGTATACATCAAACATCCGCACACATCAATTAACATGTCTGCACTTGAATTTGTAATGGAATATCGAGGGAATTCATTGCATTTTGGATCCAGCGGTTGTAAGCACTTTATTTAATACAATCCCGAGATTAACGCGATAGATTCCACGAGGATAGACAAGGTGATATTTAATATCGCGCGTGTCATAAGACCTTCCTTTTTGGAAGACGCTACAGGTAATTTACCTGGTATCAATGACAAGCCATTGTAAAACCATATTATGCAAAACCATATTAGTCTAGGAACTATCTTAGGTTTTATTTTGCATAATCTTATTAAAAAAATGGCGTCAAGTAGATTGACTCTATACTTCCTACGCCGTCGTTGTTCACTTCGAATTTTCGACCTCTACATATCATATTTCTGTTTCCAAGGCAGATATAGGAAAAATATGTGTGACTTATTTTGTAATACATGTGCATAATATTCTCAGCAGCTTCTTAATAATATAAGGTTTTTCACTGGAACCAAACATGCAACAATTTACAACCATTTACCGCATACAGCTTCCAACCGACAATATTCAACCCCTTCCAAAAAATGTATCTACAAAGTGCCATCTGTTACCCGAATTGACCACTGCGATACACAACAAACCGCTGGCTGTGTTCACTTTGGCAGTGGACGATTCTGGTAACAGATGGCACTTTTCGCAGTCTTGTCATGAATTACTTACTTGTATCCGGTAAGTATATTGAGTAGTGTCGATTTTCCAGCACCTGAAGGCCCCATAATGGCGCAAAGTTCGCCTGAACGCAGTCTGCCGCTGACATCTTTCAGGATGACCTTTTCCTCTGAAAGAAAAATAAAACGTTACCACTTAGAACTAGATTACATAATTAACATGTAAAAAATGTTGAGTCAAAAATCAATGTCAATAACATAAACTTGTAATATAGCTTTCGTTCATCCGACCACAGACTATGGATATCTGTTTCGTCCTATTTGGCAACTCTTCAGCATGGTCTAGGCTTGGCCTCGGTGGAAAACGAACGAAAGCTGAGCAACTCTACTTTATTCAAAGTGTAAGGCCCATAGAAATAAGACAGCACAAAGTCCCATCAATCACGAGAATCGACCACTGCAAAAGTGCAAAAGCAGCTCTTGGAAATGTATTATCAGCCGGTTCGCTACTGTGGTCGCTGATTCTGGTCTAGTCATCATTGAACAAGAGCGATTTTTATTTCTTTAGTTTTTGGCCTTTTTCTCCGCCGTCAGTGGACAGATTTTCAAAACTTACAAAGCTGCATCCAAACAACGTATCTTATTTTCCAAATTTTTCCCGATTGCAGTACTTCTTTGCCAGTTGGCGTGAGAAGTAAAATGGTCATATTGACATTCTAAGGAAAGCGTTTTAAAGTTTCAAATGTCTAGTTTTCGTATAGTTTAGTGAAAAGAAAAGAAAAATAGTGTAGAGAAAACGAATTGCCAATTTTTCTATTTCTTTATTTAGGTCCACAGTCTTGGAAAATTGTCTTTCCGTTACAACATTGCATAAATTCAGCAGTATGCCTATACAGCTTCAAATTTCTTTTTCCAAAACCTCGATACAAACATTTCTTGTTGAGATATCGAATATTTAATGAAAATGGATCCTTTTGACTTTGATCATCGATATCTTAGTATACAATACAAATCATCGTGCAGAAAATCTGAAAGTGGTTTCGAAAGCTGGAATGGTTTGTCTAAGAGGATCAATGATCAATTATGAAATACATTTTTTCGTCCTTCGTATGGATTGGAAAAAATAAGAAAAAGGGGTATAATTTATATCTTTATGGAAACCCAAGGCCTAAATTGCAAATATTGACCGTCACTTTTACATAAATATATCCACAATGACCCTGTAAAATTGCACTTTGATCTAGCTATTCGTTTATTCGTTTTGGTATTGAAGAAAGTTACAAGAAATTAAAGGATCACGTTTATTGCAGCTAAAAACTTGTAAATGGAAAACGGTTCTATTAGGCCTTTTGTACATTTTCCTTGTAAAAAACGTTCAACTTTTTGCAACAGCGTTGAAAAAAAAACATGTATTGTTTTATTTTATACAAAACACATGTTTTTTTTTGTTGTTTTAAACATGTTTTTTTAATCTTTTAAATTTTATGTTTCAAACAAATAAAACTTAGAAAAAAACATTGTTTAAATCATATTTCTTCATAATATTAATTGAAAATGTTCGACCTATTATTCTACTAAATATACTAAGTGACATATAAATCCGAACATCCAGTTTAAATGGTTTTATTTTAATAAAAGTTGGTGAATGTATTTATCTTACTGTAAATAACAAGTGAAAAAATTTTCAGCCTTATCAGTTGGACATTCCGGTTTTTGTACTGCTTTTTTTTAATTCACTAACGCTCTAAAAATGAATATTTTAGCCGCAGTAAAGAATCAACGTTGGCGGATTTTGGTTCTTGACATCCTTTACGATCGGTTACGATGCCTAGAGTACGAAGACCTGTACGATTTCGTCAACTTAGTGAGTTTGATAGGGGCCGTATAGTGGGACTTCGGGAAGCTGGACTTTCTTTTCGGGCAATTGCAGTTAGAGTGCAAAGAAGTGTAGACACTGTGGTTAGGTGTTGTCAGGCATGGCTTCGAGAAGGCCGTACGCAAAGAGCAAGGGGCACTGGACGCCGCCGTAGAACAACAGACCATGAAGATCGCCGCCTAAGATTATTGGCCTTAAGGGACCGTTTCTCCACTACCAGGTCCATTGCAAATGAATGATTTGCAGAACACGGAAGACCTATTGGCATGCGAAGTGTTTACCGACGAATGAGAAGTTTTGGCTTGTTTTCATACCGGCCACACTGGGTCCTCCCTTTAACTCGAGAACACCGACGTAATCGCCTTGAGTGGTGCAGACAACGGTCACTCTGGGATCAGGAATGGAACAGTATTGTCTTTAGTGACGAGTCTCGATTTTGTTTAGGCATGCACGATGGTCGTGCCAGGGTTAGAAGGCGACGTGGTGAAAGGAGGAATCCACAGTTTTTTGCTGAAAGACATGTTCATCACACTGTTGGAGTTATGGTTTGGGGTGCTATAGCTTATGGTTCCAGATCACCTTTAATCTTCATCAGAGGTAACATGAACGCGCAGCGTTATATCCACGAAGTTCTAGAACCCCATCTTTTACCCTATCTTGACACCCTGGCAGATCCAACTTTGCAACAAGATAATGCCCGACCACATGTTGCAAGAGTCACAATAGACTTCTTTCAACATAATGATGTCACATTGTTAACATGGCCACCAAGATCTCCCGACTTGTCTCCAATTGAGCACGTGTGGGATATGATGGGTAGGAGATTGATCAATTTGCAACGTCCTCCTCAGACTCTAGAAGCACTTCGAGAGCAGTTGGTGGTTGCCTGGAATGAGATACCACAGGAGGACATTGATCACCTGATCAGAAGCATGCCTAGGCGCGTTGGAGAATGCGTAGCACATCAGGGTGCATCCACACATTATTAAAGGTCAAAGGGCTTTAAAGCAGTGCAATCATTAGGAAATTTTTATCATTTACTTATTATGCTTCATTAAGTACTTATACAAAATTTTATTAAAATAAAACCATTTAAACTGGGTGTTCGGATTTATATGTCACTTAGTATAATAGATACCTTATTTCAAGTCCGACTCTGTACTAAACTGTCGCGATCAGCTGTTACGAACTACGTCACGCCACGCCGCCGTTAGGCTGTGCCGGTGAATCCCCGAAATAATAAAAACCAACTGCAATTAAGAACTATTGGCCTGGGGGAACCACAGACTACTATTTATAAAATCGCCTTGCATATTGGCTAATGTCTACTGTAAGTTGTGGTGTTCTTTTTTTTTTTTTTTGAAGAATGTCGTCTACAGGAAAGAAGAAAGATGCCATTTGGTCCTATTTTGATGTTGTTAAAGATAATAACAAAAAATCAGTGACTGCTGAATGTAAAAAATGTAAAGTAATTACGGCTGGACTAGTGCTGCGTATGAAGAAACATATGCAAAAATGTGTTCCATCTGAAAATTCTCAGCTCCCAATGTCAATTATCTATGATTCCGAGTCAGATGAGGATTTAACTCTACATGAGATATCCAAAACTCAAAAATATTCAAAGAATGTTTACCCAGATAACTTTGAATTTTAAATTTTTAGCAATTTAAAGACAAGTGGCCAAGACTATTTAAAAAAATTAAAATATGTCGCATTTGCTTTGGACAAAGTCCTAAGAGACACTTGCACTATATGAGAGGCTACAGAGATATGGCTAGAATTTTTAGAAGCATTCGAGACTGAACAAGCAAATGGAGAATTTTCGGTACGTGATACGAATAAAGTCGAGGAGCGTACGATAATGACATTGACCCCAGCTCATTTTTTGGCAAATTTGCTATATCATCGCTTTAGAGGCAATAAACTTAGTCACGAGCAAACAGAAATATGTAGAAACCTATCATCAAGAATCATTGCCAATTATTATTAGTTACCAGGCAAAGTGTGTGCCCTTTAAACCATATATGTTTTCTAGGCATCTAATTGAGAATGTAAAACCACTCGCATGGTGGCGTTCTATGAAAAATATAAATACCACAGCCTTGGAACTTGCTCAACAGCTTCATACAGCTATTGCATCGTCAGCCAACACAGAAAGACTCTTCTCATCATACGGTTTAGTCCATTCAAAACTACGTAATCGGCTAAGCAATGTCAAAGCTGCTAAGTTGGTATCAATTTTTAAAGAGCATAATTCCATCAGTGGTGACGTGACTGATCAGATATCAGATTGATGACTTAGATGACTATGAGACTGAAAGAGTGTGGGGAATTTGTTAACGCTTGTATCCAATTTTTGTTGTGTTCCTATTACACTGATCAACAGCCAAAAAATATCCTAAATAAAATCAACAAAATATTACTATTTTTAATGTGCTAAAACCGGAATGAAACTTATTTTTTCAATATTAGTTCAAGTTTTAGAGATACGGTAATTATATGTGTTCCTGCTGTGACAGTGTTAATATACTGTAATTCACAAGAATGCACGTGCTACATTTTTATATTCGGCAAGGAAAGATAATGTAATCGGCATGATTGTGTTACGTTATACATACGTGTACTTTATATTGTTTTATATTAGCCATTTTTTCCTCAGTTGGCTGACAGCGTTCATACAAGATGTCTCGAAAGTGTGTAAACAATCCAGATCAGTTTTGTTACGTGTGTGGTGATGTGACTTTTGCGTCACAGAGACGGTCTATTACTCCACTAATAACAAAGGCATATCAGCTTTATTTCGGTTGTAAACTAGGTGATCAAGACAAACAGTGGGCACCCCACATCTGGTGTAATACATGTGCTTCAAGTCTGAGGAGCTGGTTAAATGGCAAAAAACGGTCTATGCGCTTTGCTGTCCCAATGGTTTGGAGAGAGCCTACAAATCATATTAATGATTGTTACTTTTGCATGGTACCTTGTGTTGGCCAAGCCACAGGTATGTCCTAGAAAAAAAATCGGTTATTAACTACCCAAACATACCATCTGCGATGAGACCTGTGCCTCACAGTGACGAAAATCCTATTCCAAAACCCCCAGAATCCTACACTTGCAAATCAGAAAACGAATCAGATCATGGCGATCGAGTGATTCGTCAGGAAGAAGATATGCCATCAACGTCAAGAGATCCTGATTTTATACCGAGCACGTCATGCCACCAACCGCACAAAATAACACAGTCAGAATTAAATGATCTTGTAAGAGATTTAGAACTTCCAAAATGTAAGGCAGAGT